GTCTGGCCAGAGGGAGAAGGCAGAGTATGCCCCAGGCCCTCTCATTCCTGTTGGACTAACCGGTAGGATGGGTCTGAGCTCTGGGGCCTCCGCTTCAGAGGGCAGACCGATTCACAATTGAAAACTTGATGAGAGCAAAAGCCATTTGTCTGTGTCACTGTTTCAAAGTGATATATGTAATTTTCAGCAGCTTAGCCGCTTCACCACACCTAGTTGTGCTATGAGCCCCGTTTCTCACTTTAAAATCATGAAACTGCTCCTTAACGAGATGAAATGTTTCACCATTATCACTCATTGATGCATTGTCCTTTACAAGGTCTTCATTCACAGCCCGAGCTTTCTCACAAATTACAGACTCAGATGGGCTATCCCCTGCCGCCTGCCTCTCATTTAACCACACTAATAGCCTTTTCACCTCATCTAACACTGTTGCCGTAACTTACTAATTTGAATAACACCTTTACCAACACGACCTTCTTTATACAAATTTTCTCTCTGTTAGATTGTCGGGATGGTGGATTTCAACATGCTGTACCTATTAGCGAGATCAGTCACATAAACACCACTCTCATATTTCTCCATATCCTTCTTCTTTTTTATTATGATTGCTTTCTTTACCTTCCCTTCTTTCCTGAGCTTCCCTTCTAGTGGGGCTATTTTGATAGCCATAATCATAGCGATTATATAAAGCACTGGCCAAAATCACATCCACAAACACACGTATCCGGGCTCAGACTGACATGTATGCCTACACACCCACTTCTGGCATCACAAGTCTTTGTTTACAACTGCACAAGCAGCCAGCATTTAGGTTGTAACTCAAGACTTTGGTCATAAGTGAAGCCTAAAGTTCCAGTTGTAACCTAAGTTTTTATGTTAGACCAGTTGTAACGTGAGGGTCCACTGTCCTTTTTTCCTTTTGGCACTGGGAATCGAACTCAGGACCTTGTGCTTGCCAGGCAGGCTCCGCGCCGCTGAACTATGTCCCCAGCCTGGCCTTTCTTTTGAAGCCTGGCCAATTTACCCGCTCCTCATCATGCTCTATGAGCCACAATTCTCATGCGCAGGCTAGGACTGTTCGCACTTACAAGATGGAAGAGAGAAGGCTGCCCCTTTTTCTTTTGTCTCCAGGACACATGTCCCCATTCAAGAACTCTGAAACTGATGCTACACCATGATATGTAGCAATGTCAAGGAAGTGTTTCCCACAGACCAAGTTAGGAAACAACTCAGAGTAAAGGGGGGGCACAAATGTAAAGAAATGGGAAAAACCTTTTTTTAGTACTGTGGATTGAGCCCAGGAGCGTTGGGGGGTCGCTACAGCCCATGGAAACACCTCCAAGTCCTTACCATGTGACACGAGAGACCCCTGTGCCAGACAGATGCAGGTCCTGGGATGAGCAGAGGGAAGGAGGATACTGACCCAGGTGTCCCAGAGTGGTCCCAGCTACCCCTGGTCTGTGGGGCTAGTGTTTGTCCTCAACCAGATACATGAGGGAGAAGTTTAAGGAGTAGTCATGTTCCCCAGAAGTTATCAGTTTGTCTAGTGATCACATGGCCCCATATAAGCCACAGAACATAGGATCTAAAGCTGGAAGTCTCTCATTCGCTTTTTTTTTTTTGAGACAGGGTCCCATTATGCAGTTCAGGGTGGCCTTCAACTCACTAGCTCAGGATGGCCTTGAATTCGCGATGATCCTCCTACTTCAGCCTCCCTAGTGCTGGGATTACAGGTTTGCACCAGCGCTCCCAGCTTGAAGCTGAAAGTGTTGAAGACCCTTCATTTACATAGTTCGGGAGACCAAGAGCCCAGGTCCATCCCCTGGCCTATGCTGCCCTCTCGAGGTCTAGGTGGGTATCGCGGCTCCTTTTCACTGTATTTGCCTCCTTTCCATCTTGGTTCGGGATTGCTCTACTCCCGAAAGATCCTTGGGTCAGAGAGTTACTTTGAATCCCGCGGAGGTGGTGCGGGGAGTTAAATGTCCCCGAAAACTGCAGCTGCGGTTTCACTTAAATGCACGCGGGGTCTCCAAAGCTGTCCCGAAGTCGCTCTTTCACACTCCAACCGTTAGGAACACGTGCTTCTCGGCTGTCTCCACCTTTGGGCTGGGGCCGGGCAGGGCAAGGAAAGACAGAAACTGCAGAACCTCATGTCTGCGCGTGATGTTGCGGGGAACTGAACCACGCAGGGACTCGTGCACGCTGAGCACCGACCAGAGCCAGGTCCCAGCGCCTCAGAGAACCAGCGAGACAGCCCGGTCCTTGGATCCGACAGGAGACTTCAGACAAGACACCTCGGTCGTCGCATAGGGCGCTCGCGGAGTTGGCTGCACAAATGAAAGATTTTTCAGAGACAGACGGAGAGAATGGATGAGAGAATACACCTTCCCGCGTGAACGTGGACAAGCTTCAAAATGGCAGTTGCACTGAGTGAGGTCTCAGGTTACATTTATGTGACGAATGAACTGGATCTTTCCAGGAATACCGTTCCTCCCTCCGAGGTCCCTGTTCTGTTCGAGGAAGGTCGGGCTGTACTGACCCAGTGGGTCCTTCTTTGAGAGCTGGAGGCTCTTCCAGCCCCTCCCCGCAGGCCCGGGCTTTGCATGGGCCCGGGCCCCCCTCCGTGGGCTCAGAGCTCACACTCGTGGGCGAAAGCTGGAAACGGCGCGGTGCCCCCCGAAGGTATCCAGGGACGATGACGTCGCCTATCCCGGCGGTCCTCCCCGAAGGCATGGGGACCGCTTCTTGGGGCACTCGCTCTGCCATAGCAGCCCACCTTTCTCCTCTCCCACACCCGGAAGCCTGGCCCTGTCTGTCCGTGCCCTGAGGCCGCAGTCAAAGGGGACCAGCTGGGTCCCCAGGACGGAGACCCGGAAGGGGCGGCGAGGTGGGGCGCGGGGCGGAGCACAAAGGACTCCCGGGCCCTGGATCGCAGCACAGCGCCTGGAACCCCGGCCGGAGTCAGACCGGGTAACCCTGGAACTCCACGGAGACGAAAGCGGCGGCGCGCGGGTGTAGCCGGCTGAAGTCTGAGCCTGCCTCAGCCCCGG